ACTGACAATCATGGCATAAGGGGAAGCAGGCACATCCTACATGGTGGCAGGAGACAGGGCGAGTGTGTGTCAGTGCAGGGAAGTCTGCTGTTTATAAAACCATCAGATCTTATGAGAATTCACTGGCTATCATGAGAACAGCATAGGGGAAACCATCCCCATAATCCAATCACTCCCACCGGGTCTTTCCCTGAACACCTGGGGATTACAATTCAAGATGAGATTTTTATGGGGACACAAGGCCTAACCATTACCAGGCATAGTGTCACATGCCTGTAATTCCAGCATGTTGGATTGTGTGAACCCAGGAATTTAAGACCAGCCTGGGCAACATAGTGAGATCTTGTCTCTGTAAGGAAAAAACACAGAAGTTACCTAGGCATGGTGCTGCAGGCACCTAAAGTCCCAGCAACTCAGGAGGCTGAAGTGGGAGGACTGCTTGAGCACAGGAGGTCGAGGCTGCAGTGAGCCATGATCACACTACCGTACTCCAGCCTTGGTGCCAAAGTGAGACCTTGTCTCAAAAATTTAAAAAACCAACCCAGAGCTACCATGAGCAAGCAGAACCAGGTATCTTATGTGTGGCCAACAGAGCCAGCATTCCTGGCTCGCTTCAAGGAATGGGTGGGCTACAGGGAGGGGCCCACTGTAGAGACCAGGAGAATCCAGCCTCAGCTCCCAGATGAAGATGGGGATCACAGTGACAAAGAAGATGAACAGCCTCAAGTAGTGGTTTTAAAAAAGGAAGACCTGCTGGGCGCGGTTGTTCACGCCTGTAGTCCCAGCATTTTGGGAGGCCGAGGTGGGTGGATCACAAGGTCAAGAGATCGAGACCATCCTGGCCAACATGGCGAAACCCCATCTCTACTAAAAATACAAAAATTGGCTGAGCGTGGTGGCGCACGCCTGTAGTCCCAGCTACTCGGGAGACTGAGGCAGGAGAATTGCTTAAACCCAGGAGGCGGAGGTTGCAGTGAGCTGAGATCACGCCACTGCACTCCAGCCTGGCGCCTGGTGACAGAACAAGACTCTGTCTCCAAAAAAAAAAAAAAGAAAGAAAAAAGAAAAAGGGACTCCTGTCACTTGAAGAAGTCACGAAAATTAAAGCAGAAATAAAGGCTGTCAGAGCAGATGAAGAACCTCCTTCAGCTGATGGAAGAAACCTATATCGAAAACCAGTCAAGCGTCCCTCAAATGAAAAATGTTCAGGTTTAACAGGAAGCTCAAAAAAGAAGCCAAATGAAGATGAAATCAATCAGGACTCAGTCAAAAAGAACTCACAAAAACAAATAAAAAACAGTAGGCTCCTTTCTTTTGACAACAAAGATGAAAATAAGTAAGTGTAAATAGTTTGAATTTGGTCTAAAAAAAATTTAAAAAACCAAGCTTCCTTTTAAATACTGACCTGGGGTGGTCATTTCGTAACTCTGGGCCTCAGTTTCTTCAACTGCAAAATGGGGATGGGTGCACTCACATGGATTAGAACAAATCCTTGGAGGGGTCTGGAACCTGAAGGCAGAACTGGTTGGGTGCAAAATGTAAATGTGGGACCCCTTCTTCAAACCTTAGTAAGACTTTCAAGGCTAGGCGAGGCGGTTCATGCCTATAAGCCCAGCACTTTGGGAGGCCGAGACAGAGGATTGTTTGTTTAAGGCCAGCCTGGGCAACAGAGCAAGACCCCATCTCTACAAAAAATTAGCCAGGTGTAGAGTCCCATGCCTGTAGTTCCAGCTACTTGGGAGGCTGAGGTGGGAGGATCACTTGGGCCCGGGATGTCGAGGCTGTAGTGAGTTATGATTGAGCTACTTCACTCCAGCCTGGGTGACAGAGCGAGACAGGAAGAAAGAAAAGAAAACAAAAAAAGAAAAGTGAGGTGGAGAAGAGAAGAGAGGAGAGGAGAGAAAAGAAAAGAAGAAAGAGAAAGAAAGAGAGAAAGAAAAAGGAAGGAAGGAAGGAAGGAAGGAAGGAAGGAAGGAAGGAAGGAAGGAAGGAAGGTAGGTCGGGCGTGGTAGCTCACACCTGTAATCCCAGTACTTGGGGAGGCCAAGGTGGGAGGATCACAAGGTCAGAAGTTCAAGACCAGTCTGGCCAACATAGTGAAACCCCGTCTCTACTAAAAATACAAAAAATTAGCCAGGTGTAGTGGCACGCACCTGTAATCTCAGCTACTTGAGAGGCTGAGGCAGGAGAATCGCTTGAACACAGGAGGGGGAGATTGCAGTGAGCCGAGATTGCACCACTGCACTCCAGCCTGGGCAACAGTATGAGACTCTGTCAAGACAGAGAGAAAGAGGGAAGGAAGGAAGGGAGGGAGGGAGGGAGGAAGGAAGGAGGGAGGGAGAGAGCGAGGGAGGGAGGGAGGGAAAGAAAGGGAGAAGGAGGAAGAGAGAGAGAGAAAGGGAAAGAGAGAGAGAGAAAGAGAGAGAGAGAAGAAAGAGAAATAGAGAGGAAAGAGAAAGAAAGGAAGGAAGGAAAGAGAAAGAAGAAAGAGAGAAAGAGAGGAAAGAAAGAAGAAAGAAAGAAAAGAAAGAAAGAAAAGAAAGAAAAAGAAAGAAAGAAAGAAAGAAAGAAAGAAAGAAAGAAAGAAAGAGAAAGAGAGAGAGAGAAAGAAAGAAAGAGAAAGAAAGAAAGGGAATTTCAGAAGCCTGGGCTTTGTGTCAGGTGGAGGACGGGCCACAGCCCCGCGAAGCCAGCACCGCTTCCACAGGCCGAGGGTTGAAACCCTAAGGTTGATGACCCGTTCCCGACCCAGACGCTGGTGGGGGCTGGAGACCTCCCTCTGCCTCCTCTCAGTGACTCTGGCCTCCAAGGGCTGCCAGGAGCTGCCACAGCTACCTATTTCCTTCTCGTCCTGGTGGGAGGAGGAGGGGCATGCTCTGCCGCAGAGTATTCAGGGAGTGGCTGATTTAGGGTATTCAGAGCGGGCTCTGGCACTTTGTAAGCTCTCCATAAACGGTGCTTTGTGGAGAGATTGCGGCCCCTCGATTTCTCTCACAAATGGTTCTTAACGGCTCCCTCTTAAGAGCCTGCAGCACAGAGTCACTCTACTGCCGCCTGCAAGGGATGGGACCTTCAGTAAGTCATAGTTCACTTCTCTGGCCCTTGGTTTTCTTGCCTGTCAAATGGGTGAGGAGACCCATCTCCGCAGGGCGCTCAGTGGCGCCAGTGTGGCATGAACCGCATCTGGCCGCTGCCGTGGCTACTGGCACCCTCCTTTCCCACTCTGGTCTGTTTCTTCACGTGTGAAATGGACAGAGGGGAGATTGGCGGGGACGGCTTTGCCAGTCCCTCCAGGTTCTGAAAGTTCCCTGCGTCTTAGAGCTCCTTTCTCTCGTCTTACAAGTGAAGACTGTAACAATGTCATGATCTACAAGCACTTACATGGTGCTGCCATGGGTTGGATTCTGTCCCCCGAAAAGAGATATGCCAAAGTTGAAACCCCCAGTACCTCGGAATGTGACCTTATTTGGAGACACGGTCTTTATGGAGGTAATGAAGTTAAAACAAAGTCATTAGGGTGGGCTGGATCCAATATTCCTGGTGTCCTTATAGAAATGGGAAATTTGGACACAGAGACAGACAGGACGATGACGTGAAGACACCGGTGGAACACCAGGTGAAGATGAAGGCAGAGGTCTGGGCCATGCGTCTACAAGCCAAGAAACACAGATGGCCAGCAAGCCCCGGAAGCCACCCAGTCACAGCAGCCGTGGTCCATGAACGCGGGTGTCCGCCAAGAGCCAGACGCTGGTCTAAGAGTTACGCTCATACCAGCCCTTTGAGGTGACCTCTGCGGCTGCCACCATCCTCCCCAAGGCCACACTGCATTTGAGCTCTGGCAGGTCCAGCCCCAGCCCAGGGGTGTGTGCTCACCCACTTCTCTACACCTCCTCTGAGTTTAAACCCTGCTCAGAGGCCTCGGTGCGTCTGGCAGGGCAGCTCTGAGGTCTTCCCAGGGCTACATTTTATTTTGCTGTGAGCAGGAAGTTCTTGGCCTGGCTGCCGACAGCCTCACCTGAGGCTACGTTAAAGTGCACTCTGACTTGGGGCTCCCCTCCAAGAGGTTCTGCCTCAAGGGTCTGGGCTGCAGTCTGGGACTCCCCCAAAGAGGAGCTGCCCTGCTGGGAGTGCCTGCCCTGCCTGCTTTTCTCTTCCAGGCTTTAGGAGACTTCACTAGAAATGAGGGTAGCGCCTGCTGTGGCTCCTCTGGGGATCCAGATCCCCCAGTCATGGGTGGAGTCATTTGTCCCACCCTTGGGTACAGATGGCGAGGCTGTGGCCCAGGTGACATCTCCACAATCAGAGGTAGGCCAAGTCAATCTCTGAGGCCTCCTTTGAGGTGCAGGGAGCCCCTGAGTGCCTTGAAGGCTGTTGGGTTCAGCTGGGACACAGAGGTGTCCCCAGGCCACCACACCCCAGTATGGTGAATGCGGGGACAGAGCCAGGTAGGGGTGGGCCTCAGATCAGGAGGCATCATCAATGCGCCAGAAAAGACCCTGCTGGATCTAGAGGCGCTCCGAGCTCCTGCTCTGCCCCCACTGTGTCTGACTCGTCTCACCCCTCACCCTGTGGCAGCCCTCACCGCCCCCCACCACCCTGTTCCTCACCTAGACTCAAGCGTTCAAGTTGTCAGAGTCCTAAGCCACTCACCTGCACTTAACCCTGCCACCGGCGGAGGACCCTGGCCCCACAGCTCCTGTTGCTGCTTAGGGGGAGACCCCGCCCCAAAGAGAAAGCCATGGGAGGCAGTGGGCTGGACAGGAGCCCTACCCAAGGCCCTGTCACCACTTCCGGGGAACATCCCCCAGGCTCCATTTCCTTGCCTGTCAAATGCGTGGGTAGCCGCTGCCCTGCCCTGCTTGCTGTGTGTGCATTGGAGGTTTCCTGCTGAGGATGAGGGGAGACTCTGGGTGGAGGTGGGAAGGTCCCGTGTGAGTTGGAGTGGAGGTGCATGGAGACGCCCAGCCTCTGACCCTATGCCCGCTGCCCCTTCCCCAAACCTTCAGGATCTTTTCCAGCTGCTTCTGCGTGTCCACCACAATGACGTTGGCGCGGCAGTCGTGGGCGATGTACTGGCAGGCCTCAGGGGAGCTGGTGGTGTAGATGCCAGTGATGATGCCACTGTAGGAGACCCAGGAGGATTTGCCTTGGGGCAGGTGCAGAGGGGCCACCTCCTTCCCCCAGCCCCCAGACCCAGTGAGCGGCCCCAGTGTGGCAGGAGGGGCTCCCAAGGCACCTCAGCACCACTGTCCCTGCAGAGAGGGTGCCAGACGCAGGTTCACCCAGAGCCCCAGGGAGGAGGCAGGATGGCGGGGAGTGGGTGGGGGCTACTAAAAAGAGATAAGGACCCTCTCCTAACCTCTGCCCACTGCTAACCCACTGGAGACCCTCCCCTGCCCCCGCCACTCACCCTGCGAACACTGCGCCCACTGCCGAGAAGAACCACTCCGGGGAGTTGAAGCCGAGGATGGCCACGCTGTGGGCCCGCTCCAGGCCGAGCTCCAGGCCAGAGGCAGACAGGCCAGGTCAGCCGGGCAGGTACCAGGACCCTCACGCTCCTCTCAGGGCCCTCACCCAGACTGCAGGGGACCCTGCAGGTCCCACCCTCCCAGGGTCCACTCAGTCAGAGAATCCCCTTGGATCAGGAGGGGTTGGTCACTCAACAGCCCTCGCCGCCCCTCCCAGGGCCTTCCCGGGGAGTCTGCCCCCGCCTTCAGCCCAGCGTGCTGGGCTTCAGCCTGGCCTGAATGTGATCACAAACGAAAAGCAAGAATCGAGTGCTTGGCGCGTGTTCGGGACTCAGGAAATATAAGCTCAGTACGGGGCCCAGGGTGCGGTATCAGCTCTGTGCTCAGTGGTGGCTTTTTTTTTTTTTTTTTTGAGACGGAGTCTCACTCTGTCGCCCAGGCTGGAGTGCAGTGGCACAATCTCGGCTCACTGCAACCTCCACCTCCCGGGTTCAAGCGATTCTCCTGCCTCATCCTCCTGAGTAGCTGGGATTACAGGTGCGTGCCCCCATGCCAGGCTAATTTTTGTATTTTTAGTAGAGATGGGATTTCTTCATGTTGGACAGGATGGTCTCAAACTCCTGACCTCGTGATCCACCCAGCTCGGCCTCCCAAAGTGCTGGGATTACAGGCGTGAGGCACCGCGCCTGGCCCAATTTTTCTATTTTTAGCAGAGACGGGATTTCACCGTGCTTGCGAGGCTGGTCTCGAACCCCTGACCTTACGTCATCTACCCACCTCGGCCTCCCAAAGTGCTGGGATTACAGGGGTGAGGGTGACTTTTACAGTTATTGTTCCTAAGGGCCTTGCCCAGTGGGCAGTTGGGGAGGAGGCCTGTGAGGCCCAGGGCTGGCAGGCACATCTGGGCAGGGGACAGGACTTGCACAGGGGCCCCCTTACCTTCAGGAAGCCCTTGGCGGCTCTGCGGGCGAGCAGATAGTACTGGGAGTAGGAGATGTGCTCCCACTTGTCCTGGCGCTTGAAGCCCAGAGCGCTGAGGTCCCCGTACTTGTCCAGGGCCTCGTAGAACATCCGATGCACAGTGTAGGGAAATTGTGGGCAGCTGGGGTCTATGCGCAGGCGTACCTGCCCATCAGCCCGAGTCGTCCACAGCGCCTCCTCTGTGGGGTGGGGGAGACCACAGCTTGGATCATGCCCCCCTGGGGTTGTCCCCAGGGGACCCTGGTCCTGCCCTGGGCAGAACTCGCAGGCCTTCTGGTGCTGACAGTGCCTTAGGTACTGGGCCTTGAGGCTGGCAGGCAAGGGTAGACTGGGGCAGGCTGGGAGACTGCCTGGAGGAGGAGGTCTGACCTAGCCTTGAAGGATGGGCAAAGTTTAGGGCTGCAGCAAGGAAGAGGAGAGGAAATAACTGGAGGACAGGTGGGGGTCCTAGAAACTCTGTTCCTTCTTTTATCCCAGCTGGAATTTGCCTCCCAAGGTTGGGCAGTGGAGCTCAGTCAGATCTCCAGGTGCCTTTGGGTGTCCGGCTTTCCCTACCCTCTGTGAATGGGTTGGGGACAGATCCAACTAGATAGAAGGTGAAAGCACCAAAGAGAACGACCCTCCCGAGGATCTGGAGGAGACTGAAAACCACCAGCCCTGCTCTCCAGCCTGAAAAGTCTCCCAGTCTCAGGAAATCACAGCCGTCCTTGCTCATCCTCCCTCACAAATGAGGCGTCTCATTTCGGGTTCACAGCATGGGTTTGGAGCGCCCCCTGTCGCGCAGATGGGGCAGCTGCAGCGTGAGAGGTTCAGTCATTTACCCAAGGTCACACATGAAGGAGGTGCAGCATCAGGATTTGAACTCGGGTGTACCTGGTGCCGCAGCTCACGCTCAGGACATTGGCCAGGGTGCCACCCGCCTTTAAGAGTCAGAGGCTTACTCTGTGTGTGGTGGGTGGGGACTGAGGTTGACCACTTAGTATGCAAGACTTGGGACAAGCCACTGAACCACTGAGTCAGTTTCAGGAGAAAGATGAGGACTCAGTTCTCAGGGTGGACATGAGGATTAAGAGAACGGGTGTAGGCCCGGCGCGGTGGCTCACGCCTGTAATCCCAGCACTTTGGGAGGCTGAGGCGGGTGGATCACGAGGTCAAGAGATCAAGACCATCCTGGACAACATGGTGAAACCCCGTCTCTACTAAAAATACAAAAATTAGCTGGGCATGGTGGTGCACACCTGTAGTCCCAGCTACTTGGGAGGCTGAGGCAGGATAATTGCTTGAACCCAGGAGGCGGAGGTTGCAGTGAGCTGAGATCGCGCCATTGCACTCCAGCCTGGGTAACAAGAGCGAAATTCTGGCTCAAAAAAAAAAAAAGAGAAAGGGTGTATATGAAGCAGCTTTGGCCTGTGCCTGGTGCTCCATGAATGCACGTTTTCCATCTTCCCCTCTTTTCCAAGTTTGCAAAGGGAGTTTGGATGGGTGGTCTGGACCCTTGGGCCCGATGGGACCTCCATTCCTTGAGGCAAGGGTAGTGGTGCCATGGTGTTGGTGGGGAGGGAGGAGGGCTGTCCAGCACACATGGGGCTGTGCTGCCACCTGCTGGCCAGACCCACCTGACCCATTGTCCTGTCACTTGGTCCTTCCCTGAGGAAGACAGATGGACCAGATGAGCTTGTTCCTCCTCTTTGACACTCAGGTTGCATGCGGACTCTGAGGTTGGCAGAAAGAGGTAAAGATCTGGGGGCTGGGACAGGAGAGCCCATTCCTCCTCCTGTGGAGGGCGAAAGTGGGGATACATGGCAGCCTGCAGGAAAGGCCAGTGGGGCAGGAGAGGGTGCCAGAGAGAAGATCTTGCATACGACAGAGGCCAAGACCTCCCAGGATGGACGCCCTTGCCACTGGCCATGCTGGGGCCCGAGCCCTTGGGTAGTGGCGTGAGTCAAGGGCCACTGAGCCCCATCTACTCACTCCTCAGATCTCTGCAAGCCCTGTCCCATCTCCCGGAATGCCAGCCTGGCAGACCCTGCTGATCCACCTCTTCAGAGCCTTAACCACTGCATTTTGCCAAAAGTCCATGCCCAGAGCAGAAAGTCAGGTCCACATGGGTTCAGAAACCTCAGATCTGCCACTGCTTGCAGTGTGACTGACAAACCATTCTCTCAGCTACATCTCATCACCTGCAAATGTGAGGGGTTGGCGAGGACATGGGGACACGGAAGACCTCATACAGTGCTGGTGGGAACGAGACGGTACCACCATGTTGAAAAACAGGTTAGCAGTTTCTGCAAGAGTTAAACATAAATTTACAGTACAACCCAGCAACTCCACTCTTAGGTAACTACCCAAGAGAAATGAAAACACGTGTCCCCATGAAGACTTACACACAGATGTTCTTCACAGCATTATGAGTCAAAAAATTGAAACAGCCCAAATGCCCACTGACTGGGGAGTGAAAAACAAAATGTGGTCATAGAGTAGAATTATCTGCTCCGAAAGGAGCAAAGTGGCCCGGTGCGGTGGCTCACACCTGTCAACACAGCACTTTGGGAGACTGAGGCAGGTGGATCATTTGAGTCCAGGAGTTCGAGACCAGCTTGGGCAGCCCCATCTCTACGAAAAATTTAAAAATTAGCCAAGCATGGTGGTAGGTACCTGTATTCCCAGCTACTTAGGAGGCAGAGGTGGGAGGACGTTTGAGTCTGGGAGGTCAAGGCTGCAGTGAGCCATGATCGCACCACTGCACTCCAACCTGGACAACAGAGTGAGACCCTGCCTCAAAAACAAAAAATAATTAAATCAGGCCGGGCGCAGTGGCTCACACCTATAATCCCAGCACTTTGGGAGGCCGAGGCCAGTGGATCAGCTGAGGTCAGTGGCTCAAGATCAGCCTGACCAACAAGGTGAAACCCCGTCTTGAATAAAAATACAAACAAATTCACTGGGCCTGGTGGCAGGCGCCTGTAGTCCCAGCTACTCGGGAGGCTGAGACAGGAGAATTGCTTGAATCCTGGAGGCGGAGGTTGCAGGGAGCCGAGATTGCACCACTGCATTCCAGCCCGCGCAATGGAGCAAAACTTGCCTCAAAAAAAAAATCAATCAATCAATCACATTAAATAATAAATAAAAATATATAGAAAGCAATAAAGTACAGATAGAGGCTGCAGCATGGATGAAACTCAAAAACATGTTCAGTGAAAGAGGCGGTGCAAAAGGCCACCAGGAAAGGCAGAAAAACCGAAAGCAGATTCGTGGTTGTCCCGTGCTGGAGGTGGGGGTGGGGAGTGACGGTGGAACACGCACAGGGATCGTTTTGGGGTGACAGAAATGTCCCCGCAGTGGACCGTAGGGATGTTTTGCAACTCTGTAAATTTGCTAAAGGTAATCAAATTGTGCACTTAAAACGGGTAAACTTGATGGCATATAAATTATAGCTCAATAAAGCTACTTAAAAAAACAGAGAGGGCCGGGCATGGTGGCTCATGCCTGTAATCCTAGCACTTTGGGAGGCTGAAGCAGGTGGATCACTTGAGGCCAGGAGTTAAAGACTAGCCTGAGCAATATGGTGAAACCCTGCCTCTACTAAAAATACAAAAATTTGCCAGGTGTGGTGGTGCACGCCTGCAACCCCAGCTACCTGGGAAGCTGAGGCATGAGAATCGCTTGAACCTGGGAGGTGGATGTTGCAGTGAGCTGAGATCGCACCACTGCACTCAGCCTGGGCAATAGAGCTAGATTCTGTCTTTGAAAAAAAAGCAGGGGGGGCGGAATGTTGACCCCACAGAGTGGTGCAAGGATCCTGTGCGATGGCTGCAGAGCATGCCCAGGGCCTGGTATCCAGTGGCTGCTCAGTGGCTATTAGTTCTCTTCCCTCCCCTGGCACAGATTCCTTCTAGGCCTGGACCAGAGAAAAGGTGACTTACTCCCACGGGCACTTCTAGAAGCTCACGCTCCTCTGTATTCACCTGTTCACCCAGGTTGCCAAGAAGAGCAGAGGCGAGTCTTGTGATCTCCAAGCCAAACATTTTAACTTGAACATTTATAATCTCTCTTTTTTTCCTTTTTTTTTTGGCATGGAGTCTCACTCACTATATGGCCCAGGCTGGAGTGCAGTGGTGCGATCTCAGCTCACTGCAGCCTCTGCCTCTTGGGTTCAAGTGATTCTCCTGCCTCAGCCTCCCGAGTAGCTGGGACTACAGGCGTGCACTACCATGCCTGGCTAATTTTTTTTTTTTTTTTTTTGGTAGAGACAGGGTTTCACTGTGTTGACCAGGCTGGTCTCTAACTCCTGGCCTCAAGTGATTGGCCCGCCTTGGCTTCCCAAAATCCTGGGATTACAGGCGTGAGCCACTGTACCTAGCCACTATAAACTCTTTTTTGGTTTTTGAGACTAAGTCCTGCTCTGTCGCCCAGGTTGGAGTGCAGTGCCATTATCTGGGCTCACTGCAACATCCGCCACCTAGGTTCAAGTGATTTTCCTGCCTCAGCCTCCCGAATAGCTGGGATTACAGGTGTGTGTCAGCATGCCTGGCTAATTTTTGTATTTTGTAGTAGAGATGGGGTTTCACCGTGTCAGCCAGGTTGGTCTCAAACTCATGACCTCAGGTGATCTGCCTGCCCGCCTCTGGGATTACCGGAATGAGCCATGGGGCCTGGCCTATAATGTCTTTTTAATGACAAAAATATGCATACTTGTTCCAAGAAATACAGAACAATTATCAGTCTGTGATAGAAAAAGTGGTAGGCCCTCTTTCTACAAGTATACATATAAAGGACTTAAGTTTTATTTTGTTATCGCAATTGCTTTTTATGAAAAAAGAAAAAAAAAAGGTGGTAGGGGGTGTGATTGTATTATTAATGTATTAATCATAGGTTGTAAACCCAAAATGCTCATGGGACCATGTGGGTAGTGTATCAGCATCATAGTAAAAAATGTAGTAATACATAATAAATGAATGAAGTGGCCCAGGATTTGCAGGTGAAACCCAGAGGCAGTTTTCTCTTCTCTTTTCCCTCCTTTCCTTCCTTCCTTCCCTCCCTCCTTCCTTCCTTCCTTCCTTCCTTCCTTCCTTCCTTCCTTCCTTCCTTCCTTCTTTTCTCTCCCTCTCTCTCTCTCTCTCTCTCTCTTTCTTTTTGACAGGGTCTCATTCTGTCATGCAGGGCTCAAAAGATCCTTCAG